TTTCATTACTATGCATAATTAAATACAGGCAATATCGAGGCATCCTCACATATGCCAACAGAGACTTATCATCTCAGTCCAACCAACCATTATGATCAGTATGACGCTTTGATAAACCCTTTTTAATTGTTTTTTGTTGTTCGAATTTATCATGCACTGATATCAGTCAGAGAAACATTGGAAACCTGGGAGTAGAGAACAGCTGTCTCATCTTAGTAGGGGACTCTCTAGCAGTGCTCACCCATGATTTTCATGACCCCTTTTCAACTCATGTTTTTCCTCACCATCCTTTTTTTCAGATGTATCTTTGTGAGGATGAAGAGTTCTTTAATCTCAACTGTAGTTTTTTCTATCTTCTTTCTTCTTGATTACCACTGCTTCGATGAACTGATAAGAACAACATATCGAATAGCCTTCATCAGGTTACCGCACAGTTGAAACCTATTCAGTCTAATAAATGAATATTGTCTCATTAAAATATGATTGATTTAAACAATTTGATATACTTCAAGTTATCAAGTGAGTATAAACTGAATAGTCTATTAACTTTGATTACTAATTGTCTTCGCTACTGAATCAATATATGAAAGCAGTGGAAAACGATAACTTAAACTGGTATCTTAGAAGTCAGATAGGTAAAATATGTTATTATATGGATAAAAAATTGTCATTTAGGAAAGGGAATTCACATTGATATCGTTATCTAAGAGTTTTTTGCAATACACATACTACTGTATTTGAATTCTCATGATAAGATAACACTTATGTATTGTAGGGATAGACTTCCTCAACTATACTAAATTATCTCCAAGTTTTTTCTCTATTTTATATCAAGTCAAATACACATTTTACATACACGAAATATCAATTATGATGAAAGTGAGATGTTAAGAATGAGCTACTATTCAAGATGAAAAAGTAAACATGACTAAGTTTATAATTATTATTTGTCCCTTGGGTTCCTAGTGGAACATACAGCATACGTCATCAACTAGCAACATAATAGTTATAACCACTACTATTATTATTTCATCATCCTGCTGTGAAACTTTTTCGAATAAGATTTTTTAGTGAAATGAAATAGATTTAAGAACAGACATCATTATATTATTATTATTTGTCCCTTGGGTTCCTAGTGGAACATACAGATTCAGTACCACGTCTCCATTACACTCTTCTCTGAAATCCTCTCAACCTGGCTCCACCAATGCCCACAAGCACTCGCTTCTTCCTCATACCATCTCCCAAATGTCACACTAAACTCACACGAACAACTCGTCCCTTCCCATCTGCGTTCCACTCCACCAACAGGCCTGACGCCAAATGTCCCCAGTCCGCCTTCTCAGTGTATGCTCAATCCAATTCATCTCCAATCCCCTCTTCTGCAGATTTGTTGAGTGACAGGTTCATGGTTGGTTAGTTCGTTGCCAGAGTTCCTCGTTGCGTATTCTTTCTGGACATCTGATCTGATATTTAGTAACGAGCCAGTGTAGGCAGTTGTTGATGAATATCTGTAGTTTATTGGAAATACATTTCGTAACGCGCAAAGTCTGTCAACCATGTAGGAACACTGACTTGACGTTGGTGTTCAAAATCCGGATGTTGTTCACGCTTTATGCTGAGTGAAATGCAGTGTAGTGCAGTGCAGTGCAGTGCAGTGCAGTGCAGTAGATCTCCACACTGGTTCAACGTTAATCAACCTCTGTCTTGCTGTCTTCCCGATCCTGGCTGTCTTTGACATCCCCGTCTCTGTCTATGCCACCGTCTGTCGTTGAAACGATTTTGCTGCCTAGGTACGTGTATGTGTATGTGTAGGTGTAGGTGTAGGTGAAGGAGGCTAATTCCTTTAAGTTTCTCCCGTTGATGGTGATTGGTGTTTGTTGGTGGTGATGGTGGTGGTGCGGTATCATCATCACCTCTGTCTTCTCTATATTCACTTGAAGTACCATCTTCCTTCGCTGCCTCACCTCTTCTAGGTTCTTTTCTCTGTCCCAGCGTATCGCTCTCTTCTCGCTCCTCACTGTTTGTTGTATGATGCAGTCGACTACAATCAGAAATATCATGGGTGATAGTAGACAGCCTTGTTTAACTCCTATCTTCATTTCAAGAGCATCATTGAGCTTCCCATTGCGAATCTGACGAAGTTTAGATGGAGTTAATGCATAAATAACAACATATCTGAGATAGCCATAGTTTGGTACTGCATAATAATTGATGGTGAAATAAAAATTCGAACAGTTGTAGGATTCCAGTCATCGACCAAGAAGTCTGATAGTCGTTGAGCATAAACTTTTAGTGACTGAATTGAAATAAAAATCTGATCATCAATGAAATCTTGTAGGTAAGCTAGTATTTCAGTGGGCTAGAAATTTAATGATACCTAGTTAGAATCCAGTCATGTTTCAAATCTTCATTTCACCTTCAATCATCAGCCAGTATCAAGATATAAAATGTTGAAGTAAAAACTAGGTAATAAAATTTAATAGTTAAATTATCTTAAAATGAATGAGAAAATTTTGGAAAAAGTATTTTCTAATTTTTAGTCATGTATACCATTATAAGAGGATTATAATTCTAAAAAGGATGAGATAAGGTTATTGTTTTCTCATCATACTTGACCAACTGCTTAGAATAGTATTCACTGAAAAATTTATTTCAAAACTTATTCAGTAGATTTATATGAATGAGTACTTTGAGGAAAAATTTTAACAAATAAAATTTCAATTAAAGTTTTACTTTCATTGTTTGAATGAATCAATATTTTTGGATATTAAAAATATTTACTATTGTTTTGTAAATGAACTATTGTTCATTACATATTGATTAACTACATCATCAATGTTTTCATTTTTTTTTTCATATTTTCTTTCTACTAGAAAATTTCTTTAGCCATTGAATTGGTCTTTACTAATCTCAAATAATCAGTATGAAGATCTATTGCACTGCACTCTACACAAAGAACAAGATTAGGATTTTCAACATTAATTCAATCAAGCCAGTACTTCTGTATAGCTGAGAAACTTAGCGTGTCACGAAAAGCATTTCCAACAAACTACAGACATTCATCAACAGCTGTCACCCACGCTCACTTGACACTGAAGATAAGATCAAGTGGTCAGAAAGAATAAGCAACAAGGAACTCACTCTGGCTGACAACGAACCATCCATGAACCTATCACTCAACAAATATGCACAAGAACAAATTGGAGATGGATTGGGCATACACTGAAGAGGCCGATTGGAGACATCATGCACTAGGCCAGAATCTTGAGTAGAATTCAAAGGGGAAACAATGAGTTGGGCATCCGAAGTGAGGGTGACATGGAGGAGATGGTGTAAGGAAGAAATGAAAGCTTGTGGGGAGTAGAGGAGCGAGGTTGAAAAGAGTGGAGAGAAGAGAGTGGAATGGTGACGTGTTACTGAGTCGGTACATTCCACTAGGAACCCAAGGGAAAAATAATAATAATACATCGCTGATGCCGAAACTTTTAAGTTCGGTGTTTATGAAACAAACAAACTCAATAACTTCGCTTCATACATTGACGTCAAATCATTGGCCTTCAAAACACACACTATACTCTACATTCTTACTGCAGATACACAATAGTACTTTTCTCAGTCCCTTGTCAGATCTCTCAGTAACTTCTTTGATCTTATGCAGTCACATAGTAAGTAAACTATGGTATATTTGATATTCTTGAAGATGATATAATATGGAGCTAAACTAAATCTAGTAGAAAATGAGATAAAATGCTCATAACTGCAAGGAGCTCATTTATATCATCAGGTTACATAGACAAAAGTTTCTTTTCAATGATAAAATATGTTTTTGATGTATCGTTATCGTTTATGATCTTTTCAAAGATATGATACAATAACAACAGTATGTGATGTTGAAAAGTCGTAAAACTTAACAAAGTACACTTACATTTTATCTTATTTGAAAAAAGCCACTCAAGTGAATATGTACCGTAACTAGCTAATATTTTAATTTTACTCAGTAATAAGTTATTCATTTTTATATAAAACAAAATTCTATTATAGTTACCACGGTTCCACTTAAAAAGAAACTACTTATTGAAATAAATCTCAAGTTTACGAATCATGTTTACTTCCCGAAAAATCTGTTCATTTTGGGTTCCTAGTGGAACATACGGCTTGAGTAGCATGCCTCAATTTCACTTCCTTCTCTGTGATCTTTTCAACCTCGCTCCACCACTTGCCAATAGGCTTTCATTTTTTCCTCTCATATGATCTACTCCATGTCACCCTCACCTTGGATGCCCAACTCATCGTTTCCCATCTGGTTTCCACTCGAGTGCCTGGCTTGGCACTTGATGTCTCCAATCGGCCTTCTCAGTATATGCACAATCCATCTCCGCTTTCTTCTGAAACTTATAATTTCCTCCATCTCGGTTAGCCCATGCACTCCTCTGTGCATGCGTTGATGGTTTCAAATATTCACAATGTTTTATTCATCTTGTTGACTAGCAGTGGAACTAAAAATGAGCGTTTTGTTCTACTTAGGACTTGTCAACTAGATTGACCTACTGAAACTCGGTACATATTGAGTTAGAATATTAGTGAAAACATCACTTACTGTGGTAAACATGTCAAATAGGATAAAAAGCCCATTCTGAATACTGTAAAAAGTTTAGTAAACTCAATTTTTAAGCGAAATGACATTGTATATCATTTTGTTTGCATAATATTCATATAGTCTACTGATGAAAACCATATTTTTAACCTCTTTCTTCTTGCTGAAGTAAATGAAAGTAAGCTAAACTAAAGAAGCAAACCTTATCTCAGTTAGAAATAGTTATCTTTTCTTCAACAATAGACTAATATACTTTCAACTATATAGTTTAAAATTGACAGTAATATCAATGAAATGATACCTTAGAGTATCCGTTTTTGTGTAGTCTACTTTATTATTAATTTATAAACATATTTTATGAATGGTATAAAACTGAAGGTTACACATCTTAATAGATACTTACTCATATGATAGATATGATTCGATTCGTTGAATAAATAGTGAGATCAGAAGGAAAAAAAACTATTCCCAGAACTTCAATAAATTAAATATTCACGGGTAAAATGATATCAATATGATTGTTTTAATGCGAAATATTTGATAGTAGTATAAGTTATCATTTATTCAAAAAAAAATGAAGAGTTAGTGTAATCATAACAATTAATGAAAGCGATTTCACAATTTAATTATATAATGTTAACTAGTATAGAAAATAAGTCAATTTATTGTAGGCTAATAGGGAATCTGTATAGACTTGTATAATGAACCAATCAGAATTCAAGAAAATCTCTAGTATATCCATCCCTCTTATGACATATATACACTTTAATTTCCATGGTGTTGAAAGTTGTAAATATTTTTGATATAGAACTGTAGGAGGTTAATCATTTCAGTTCTTATCTTGTAGTCTATACTACTTGATTGACTTTTAACATTATTATTATTATTCAAACTATTTTTATAAATTTTAGGTTGCCAAATTTTCCATTGTTTTTGCTACCCTTACTCACTTTTTTTCAAAATACTCTTCATCTCGAAAAATTTAAAAAGAAAAACAATAACTTAAAAAGATGTGATACTTGTTAAGTGATATTTATTAGTAGATAATAGAAATGTAAATGAATATGAATGACATTCATAGTGGACTTTCCAACTGTTTTATGTTTCAGCTGAATAAGGGAATGATATAGTTCCTTCCTTTTTTTTTCTACTCGAATAACAATACACAGACTATGAACAAGTACCCTTCTAATGTCAACTTCAACTGTTTACGTGTAGCCACTAAAGCAGATTCATTGGAAGAACAAAAAATTTGGGCGTACCAAAGTTTTTACGAACATATTCCAAATGGCTGACAACTGTAGCTGAGGTAACAGTTTAAACAGTACATACATTGAACATCTGAATAACATTGAACATCGAACCTTACAGATAATAGATAAACAAATGAGCTCAGTTCTACTGAAGTTTGCTGAAGCCATAGACATTAAATGTCCTAGACCTAATCTATGTGTGTTCAACAGGAAGTCATAGCCGAACTCTATCTATTCTGGTAACTCTTTCTAAATGTTTATCCATTTACTTGTGAATTGACAGAAGTTGGAAATATGGACCATTGGATTTCGACTCATCAGCTCAAAGGTAACGTGCTAGTCACTAGACCTGAATATCCTAGGCTAGATCCCTGGGAAGGCGGGGTCATAAATGTGCACTGGTTAGCAGTTGCACACAAGGACGAAAGAACTTGTTGTCTAGTGCTCCTAGTTTTCCAATGTTCCTCCAAATTATGTCAGTTCATGATGAATAGCAGCTTAAAGTGCAATATTTTGCTTATTTATCGTAAGACCTACTTAAGTAATCATATCATATCAATTCCCTTAATGTTTTGATTGCACCATTGTCATTATTTTATTCTGGAGACTTCAATTAGATTATGCATATAATTATGACCATTTATGAACCCTTTTGAACTTCGCACTATGACTGACATTTACTCGATGACTGTTTCTGTTCTTCTTAACCACTGACTAGTAAGGTCAACCAGGTGGAAGTGAAGCGAATGCCAACTGAACACTTTGGATGATAGATGCACAATTGCATGAACTGATAGAGACAGGAAATTATGGACCATTCAAAAATCGACTGAATCACCGTGAAACTTGCAGGTCCTACTATTGTTAACAAGGATGAGAAAGCTGTTCAGTGCTCTCAGATTTTCAACAGTACTCCGACTGATGTGAATCTGTGATAAATACCACCTTAGGAATTAAAGCATGTTAAGTTTTCACTAAAATAGGAAGCTCAGTGATGCTCTTGAAGAGAAGATGAGAGTAAAACAAGGCTGTCTATTATCATCCATGATATTCCTGACTGTAGTCGACTGGATCATGCAACAAACAGTGAGGAGCGAGAAGAAGGGCATACGCTGGACTGCGGAAAAGAACCTAGAAGATCTAGATTTCGCCGATGACTTGTGCCTGATGTCACACAAACTTGAAGACCTACAGGCAAAAACTAACAAGTTAGCAGAAGAGGCAGCGAAGATGGGACTTCAGGTGAATATAGAGAAGACAGAGGTGATGAAGATACCGCACCAACAACTCCAACAGTAGCAACAACAACAACAAACACCAATCACCATCAACGGGAGAAACTTAAAGCAATTAGCCTCCTTCACCTACACCTACACCTACACATACACTACACCTACACCTACACCTACCTAGGCAGCAGCATCGTTTCAACGACAGGCGGTGGCATAGACAGAGACGGGGACGTCAAAGACAGCCAGGATGGGAAAGACAGCAAGACAGAAGTTGATTAACGTGAAACCAGTGTGGAGATCTACTGCACTGCACTGCACTGCACTGCACTGCACTATGCATTTCACTCAGCATAAAGCGTGAACAACATCCGGATTTTGAACACCAACGTCAAGTCAGTGTTCCTACATGGTTGACAGACTTGGCGCGTTACGAAATGTATTTCCAATAAACTACAGATATTCATCAACAACTGCCTACACTGGCTCGTTACTGAATATCAAATCAGATGACCACGATAATAAGAATAATCAACAAGGAACTCAGTCTAGCTGACAACGAACCAACGAAGCAAGAAGCTGTCGGTGAACAAATATGCAGAAGAGGGAATTGGAGATGGATTGGATTGAGCATACACTGAGAAGGCGGACTGGGGACACCAGGCGTCATACCTTTTAGTGGAGTGGAACCCAGATGGGAAAGGACGAGTTGTTCGTGTGAGTTTAGTGTGACATTTGGGAGATGGTATGAGGAAGAAGTGAGAGCTTGTGGGCCTTGGTGGAATCAGGTTGAGAAGATTGCAGAGAAGAGAGTGTAATGGAGACGTGCTACTAAATCTGTACGTTCCATTTGGAACCCAAGGGACAAATAATAATAATAATAATAATAATAATAATAATAATAATAATAATAATAATAATAATAATGTGATAAGTTCTCACTAAATCTGTGCATTTTGATATTCTGGGTTATAAGCAGTACATAGGATACCATCAAAATAAATTATGTCTGTTTTATCCTGTTCACATTGTTTTTCTTTCCCCTTTCATATTCATTATAGAGAATTTGTGTATGAAGTTATACAATCGGATAATCACACGTTTAGATGAAGTTTGAATAATGAATCCAAGTGAGACATATTACAGGTTAACGAGTACTTACATTCATACTACAATAAGATAAAATATGTGTTAAACTAACTAGATAGGATATTGAAATATAGTTGAAAGAATTGAATACAGTTCAATAAGCTGAAATTACATTAGTTAAGTAGATGGATTTGTTAAGAGTAGAGAAAACATAGTGGGATATGAAAGGAAACAAAAGAACCTTTTTTCAAATATGAAATTTTTCACAACGGTTATGTCGAATTTAGATCTGTTAACCTAAGAAATTTCTTTTGCATACAGATCAAAGGCTTCAAAATATGAATTACCATGGCATTCATACTTTGAGGTTTACTTCAAAACAATCTAAAGTACTCACTTGATGTTAATAAAATTAGACTGGAACTTCATATCTATTTTACTCGTACATCAATTATATTCTTCTTTATGAGACATTAGTCGTTTTATGGTTTAGTAAACGGGAATGACAAAATATACTTATCAGTCCTTTGATAGCGTCGAACGAGAATTAGTTTGGCAGCAGCTGGTTGAACACTACGATTTTAGTACCACCAAATTATATCAACCTCATTCAACAGGAGCTACATGGTAAGTGATTTGAAATGAAAACCTCAGAGATGCCTTTGAAGTGAAGACAGTAGACAGGAGTGATACAAGGTCGCCGCCTACCATCATCATCATTATCATGATTGTGGTCGACTGAACTGGATGATGCAAGAAGCAACTGTGAGGAGCTGTGAGAAGATGGGCATACGCCGGATGGACCGATGAAAAGAACCCAGAAGAAGATTTGCATTTGGCCAACGATGATGATTTATGTCCAATGATTTGTCGCACAAAACCAAAAGTGTAGAGGCGAAAACCCACAAGTGGACAGGAGAGGCGAGGTAAGACAGGGCGATGAAAGAAGACGGAACTTCCTTCAGGTGAACGTAGAGAAGATACAGGTGATGGAGATACCCAACCAACAACAATGATAATGAGCTCCAATCACCATGAACAGGAGAAATCTTAAGGGAGTTTTCACTTTCTCCCATCTATCCATCTGTGAATTCCTATTTAGTATATCGAAGTAGTATTCATCATGGACTGTCATCAGTTGGGGAACCATTGAAAATCTGAGAGCACTGGACAGCTATCTCCTCCAACTAGTATGGGACTCCTCAACAGTACACACCCACTACCCGACCACCGATCGAACTCATCACCTACAGGTTTCACGGCGAACTCGTTAACCATTCAGTCAATGGGTCAGTTCACAGTGGTTCACAATTTCCAACTTCTGTCAATTCACAACATAGCGTGACTGTCACCCAAGGTCTTCAGTTAGTAACCGCTTCATTTACGATTGGTTTACCCCAGAGGTCACGGTTTCTCATTAGACCTTCGTGACATCCATCTGGAAGCAAGTCACTAACGAGCACTATACAGTAATGTACTTTTGAGGTGAATATGGATTTTTAATTTAGAAGTAGTATTCATCATGGGTCCTGAGTTGGACCCCTAGCCAGGTCGTGGGTGTGTACTGTTTAGGAGTCCCATACAAGTTGGATGAAACAGCTGTCCAGTGCTCCCAAATTTTCAATGGTTCCCCAACTGATGACAGTCCATGATAATTACTACTCCTAAATTATAAATTCCTATTCATCTGAAAAAAAATACAATATTTTCTATATTTTCAAACACAAGATTTATTTCATTGGCTCCCGGGTAAATGTTTTTCTACACTACAGTTATTCTTGAGATCCCTTCATTTATTAATAAATAGGATTACTTTTATCAGTAAAGTAATTGCAAATTATTATTCTCTGGTAATTGACAATGGGAAGCTCAATGATGCTTTTAAAGTGAAGATAGGAGTAAAACAAGGCTGTCTACTATCACCTATGATATTTCTGATTGTAGTCGACTGCATCATACAACAAACAGTGAGGAGCGAGAAGAGAGCGATACGCC